TCTCTAACTCAAGATCTGTTCATGAAACTATCTTCCTTTGTGCCTTTCCCCGTATCTTTACATTTAATGCCAGCCAGCACACTCCCTTCCAGATGTGGCTCTCAGAATTATTTCTCCGTTTATTCAGTATATTTAATTCTTCCCTCTACAAGCACTTTTTCTCTAACTTCTAATAAGTATATATCCATCCTAAAAAAGCCTACTAAAAAAGCCTAACTTAAATTCAATGCATCTGAGGTAGCTTCCTATTTCTCTTAGTTTCATATCAACATCTTTTGAAAAGCAAAATTTTTCTGTCTCTAAAATCTTAGGAATGAATACTAATGGTCATCTAGTCCACTAGTTCTCAATATTCAGTCTCCACTAGACCTACTTGATCCCACCATGAAGGAAGCCAAGACCCATCTCTCCTGAGAACATAACTCTAGAGGGACTCTAACAGGGCTTTCAAATTTTTAAGTTATTAATAAAAAGTGGTAATATCAAGTATAAATTTAAACAGCTAAAATAACTATAAAATACAGCACTACCTATTTTGTATAAAAGCTCATTCTCTAAGGCTTATTAGGGTCTGCCACTCTGCTACAGTTCAACTCACACACCGTCACTCGCTGTCTAACCACTTTGAGCACTTTCCCTAGTCACCGAAGACTGCTCATATTACAAACAGTAAACTTCCTCATAATCCTAAAAGATATCACCATCCATTTGTATGATCCACCCAGGCTCAAAATTTTTAGACTTTAATTTGTATTCACCTTTAGCCAACCACCTGCAAGGGTACGCTAAGCTCTCATATCACCTGAGACTGCTCTACTCTGGACATTTTAAATCCCGGCATGTCATTCCTTCATCACTTGTATTCTTTCCTGAGCTTACTCACTCCGTGTTCTACCTTCTCCTGGACTCCTTGCTTCTCTTCCTTCCATGCCCATCGAGCCTGGATTCAATGGTGTATCATCTGAAGCAGCACCTTTGATTAGAATCTTTATCTTTTCCTTACATCTAATCTAACCCAAAATCAGTGTTACAAGTTCACTTTCTTCATTCCTACACCACGATGGTTGAACACAAATAGAGGAAAATCAAGAATCATCTATCATAGAGACCCATGTTTTGGGGAAGACTGACTTAGCCTCATTCCTATTCCCTTTTCTAGGTGTAGGTTATGAATCAGACTGAGCCAATCAGGTTATTCTTACTCCCTGACAACAGTGATAGGTTCTGGGATAAGCAGCTCATTGGCAAAATCTGATCAGGGTGAATGACTAAACGTTTTTTGGTAACACTAAGAAAAAGATTTTCAAAATTAACAAAGAAACATTTAGCTCACCTGGACCTTTAAGAGGAATCAACCTTAAATAAAGCTGACATCAAGTAAGCAGACCACAACACACAAAAGATCTAATCCTGATGATATTATTCAGCCATTGGTTCCAGGCTGAAGCCAGTGAATCCTACTTAATCTCTCAACTTTTTAGTTCTATGAACCAATAAACTTCCTTTCAGCAAGGCTTTCAATTGTATTTTCTATTAATTATAAGCAAAAAAAATCCTGATACATAATATTTGGGTTGAGATTGGCATCAACAAATCAGGCAAATAATACCTTGGTTAATGTCCAGTTGCCAATTTCAGTCTAACTTTAGTTCCTAGTTATCAGTAATCAGAGCTTCTTTCCTACTCTTAGCCAGTACCTTGCTTATAGCAGATCCTCAGAGTATTTGTTGAAACAAATTAGCATGACAGGATCTAGAATAGGCATCTGAGAGGGATTTACTTTTGTGCAAGTTCTAACAATATTGTCTTCTAAGAGCAATAAAACCAACTTTGAGACAGTGTTCCTCAACCATTTTCGGCTGCATTCTACAATAAGTAATATATTTTATACCATGATTTGGCGCATAGAAGAGCTACATAACTGATAAAAACTCAAAGAAAACACCCGCTCCTACATGCAAAGTGCTCTGATAATTTCTCTTCTTTTTTTTTAATGGCTCATCATTACTGATCAAATTGATTTCACGCTGCTCACAAGAGTAATGACTTACATGTTGAAAAACACAGTTTTAGGAGTCCTCTTAAATCAAAACAGGGAACTTCTGTGACTTGCTAGCAAATAGGTCATCCAGGGCAAATAACACACACAAAAATAAAATACCCTGGTCCTGGCACCTTGCGCACAGATTAGATCAAGAGCCTTTTAATTGCCCTGGCTGGTGTGGCTCAGTGGATTGAGTGCCAGACTGCGAAACAAATAGTCACCAGTTAGATTCCCAGTCAGGGCACATGCCTGGGTTGTGGGCCAGATCCCCAGTGATGGGTGAGAGGCAATCACACATTGATGTTTCTCTCCCTCTCTTTCTCCCTCCCTTCTCCTCTTTCTAAAATAAATAAATAAATAAATAAATAAATAAATAAATAAGCCTTTTAAGTGGTTCTACCTCTTGTCTCTCAACCTTCCTCATCATGCAAGAGTTGGACTTTCAGTGTCATTGTCTTGCTCAAGTCTTCACAGCAGTCCTCACAGTCTATAAGGCTCAAATGTTAGACTACAGACCAAAGTCACAGCTGGAATAGAGACTTTGGAATACAGACCAAAGTTCACTCTGGAACCAACTATTTATCAAAGTTATGTAGATATGTCAGTAATAAAATACAAATTTTTCATTATTATGCACTTCTCAATCAAGAGCAACTAAAATTTTTATCTGTTCTCTAAAATCTTTTCTTTTTAAAATGTCAAGTTGCCACCTGCGATTAACAAAAATTATTTTTTATAGCCCCCAAAATAGGTGGCTAAGTAGTTACTAATGACATCAGATCACCAGCTGATTACCACCAGCAAGTAAATCAAACTCTCTTACTTAAAAGGTCCATGAAAGTTCCTAACCATGAAGGGTCCAAAAAATTCCTAACACTACAGAGACAGAGAAAGGAAGAAAAAGAAAAAACTAATTAAAAAAAAAAGTATGGATCCAAAAACTTATTTTGTCTAGCACTTTATTTATGTTACTGATTTGGGGGCGGGGGAGGGAGAGAGATTTGTTGTTTTGCTTATTTATGCTTGCATGTGCCCTGGCCGGAGATGGAACATGCCCCCTTGGTGTATGGGGATGACACTCCAACCAACTGAACTAGCTGGCCAGGGCCTTGCCTAGCATGTTAAAACCCTCTATACTATCACACCATTTTGATCATGACCATGGCCAATCTTATCTCCTACTACCCAACATAAATTCTTCACTCCTGACAACTTACTCTTTACTGACACACATAAAAGGTTCACATTAACCTTCAAGCCAACTGTTTCACCTGCCCAGAATCCCATTCCCTTCTTTTATCCAAAACCTATTTATCCAAATCCTACTAGTACACAAAGGCATCTTTCACATCTCCTCCATCTTGCTACAGCTTTGTAGTCTACAGAAGTCATTTGACAGCATCATGAGAATAACTGTGTTGTTCAAATGATAAAATAAACAATTTAAAAACACTTTGGAAATTTCAACATTTTATTTTCTCAACAGCATTAGGTTAAAAATAATAATAATAATAAATCAACTGATTGCTATTGCAAACCAAATGACAATCTTTAGGGATGACCTACCTGGAAAACTTTCAGGAAACCCCCAGATTACTGTCACTTGGTAAGAGCCTCTTCAAAACAACATTCCTTTAATTTGAGCGGATTTACACAGTGAGAACATTCATTTCTGAGTTACTGAAGTTATTTGGCTCTACTGTCTCTAAGGTGGGAAAATACCCAAATACATAAAGCTTAAAGAGCCAAAGTAAACTGGAGACATTTTAAATTATTTTTAAAATATTTAAAAATAAAATACCATTTTCTGCTAGATGCTGTTTTTTCATTTAATGCATTTTAAATTTGATTCATAAAGCATTTCAGCTGAATGTTAAACTTACTACCTTCATAGTTATAAATTTTAAATTTTCTTTACTGCTGACTATAGTTACAATGTTGCTGAACATTCTTAAAAGATCCTCTCCTTACCCATCCCTGGTGATGGAACACAATAATGTAAGTAAGCGACAGACAACATAATAGCCATTTATTAGGATCTCTTCAAGTTAATGGGCTTTAAAACCATCTAAAGAGCTTATCAGTTTCAACTGCTGAAAAGTAATGAAAAACCCTCTGCCAAGATGGAATCAAAGTACTTGGAACCAAAGTACTTAATTTCTAGGTACTTTTTTTTCTTAAAATAATATTTAAAGCCCTGAGAAATGCCAGACTGGCATAGTGGAAAAAAGCTTTAAAATGAGAGATCTTGGCTCTAATAATAATCGTTAATATTTAGCCCTCACTTCATACAAGCCAAGCATTCCACTAAATCCTTGGCATAATTATTTTGTTTAATCCACGCACCAATCTAACTAGATACTATTACTTTTATCATCCTCATTGTACAGTTTGGACACTGAGCTTTGAAAGATAACAAGTCCGAAGTCATAAGTAGTAAAGCAGGAACTCAAATCCAGGTGTTCCTGTCACCTGAAAGTTGCACTTGGACGTAGTTATTACGTCCAAGGAACCTTGTTCTTAACCACTACTTTACTAATCTGGCTTGGTAACTTTGCGCAACTCATGTACCCACTCCTGGCCTCAGTTTTCTCAGCTACAAAAAGCAATGCATGCTAAAGTTCCTTACAGCTCTACCTAGCTTCAGTAATAGCACCCTTACACTCTCCCTGGCGTCAACAAGCCAGTGTCATTCCTCCTTTTAACTGAATTCAACTAAAAAAAAAAACAAAACAAAAAATTTACGACGAACCGACTAGGTGTCCTGTCTTGTGGTGGAGGCAGCGGCCCAAAACCAGGTTCCCGGCTCTCTCTGTTCCCGCCCCTGGGTGCGAAAAGGCCCCCTTTGCCCCAGCAAATCCCCACAACCCAGCTGGGGTCCTTACCCCTCCCGAGCCCCTACCGGCACACTCCCGCATCTAGGCCAGGCCCAGCTCAGGTCCCTGGATCCACTCACCCTTCAAGTGGTCTCTGCTGCCCGGGGCTGTGGGACCCCGCGTCCCCGCTGCCCGGTCCCCAGCTGGGGTCGCCTGGAGTGCCCCCGTCTGCGATCGTTCGGCGACTCTACCTTTCGCCATAGCTACTGCAGGGAAGGTTGGGGAACGAGGAGATGCCGCACGCCCTTAACAACAACTCCGCCGGCACCTCCTAACCCCCAGCGACCGCGGCCAGTCAGTTCCGGGGGGACCACCTAACCTGAAACGACCTCAGTCGGTGAGCACAGCGACGCTTGACCTCAGCCCACTCACACTAAGCTCCGCCCCGCGCAGCCGAGCACCGCCCCGAGACTTTTGGGCTCACGCCTGTCCAGTGCCCGCGAGACAAGTCACATCCCGCCCCTGCGCATTCACTGCCTCGCCCCGCTTCGCGACTAGGGGGAGCATGCGCAGTCGTGGCATTGGAGTTACACGGTGTGACTTGCGGTCCCAGAGTCGTAGTGCGCAGCTTTAGTTATCCGGAAGTGCAGTTCCGGCGACTTCAAACCGTTCGGCCCAGCCGCAGGAAGTGTCCGAGAATGATTAGGCAGTGTTTCGCGGTGGGGGCTGATTCAGCCCACTCCCAATTCCTGTTCCAAAGCTACTGTCTGGAATTTGGAAGGCCTAGGGCATGCTTGGTATGAAGATGTTGAAAAACAGGAAACTTGATACGATTCTACCGAGTTTCAGAAGACTAAGACTCAGGGAGGAGCTATAACCTGTGAAGGTCACAGGGTGGCAGAAATGGGTTTAGAATCCGAGTTTTCATGTTCCTTTGTCATTACCCAGCCGCCCCTCTCTAGTAAACCCACGTTGGTTCTTTATTTTAGGTTTTCTTTTTGCTGAGCCCCAAAGTGCCTATTTTTAATAGTTACTTCTTTTTAACTCCTACCTCTCCCAGCAGTATTCGGTTTACTCAGTGGAGAGTGTTTTGGAATTCCCTCTAAAAGCAACTTGGCAGTGTGTATAAAAATATTGTTCCAATCCAGTAATTACATTTCTAGGAAACTATTTTTTGAAAATAAACATATGAAGAGAGTCGTTTCTAACAGCATTATTTATTAGTATAACGGTAAATGTGGAAGCAATCTAAAAACCCAAAAGTAAAGAAAAATGGTTCATTATGGGAAATCCATGTAATGGAATTGTTTTATGTGCACGTCCTCTGCCTACTTTTAACGCCTTTAGTGACCACTCTACGAGGCAGGTCCCCATTTCATTTCCTTCATAGTCGTTAATTAAAAGCAATAATTATTTGGATTATTTGTTTACTGGTTTATTGTTTGCCTCCACATCGCGAATGGAGGCTTTATTAAGGTAGTCTTAATAACAGCTAAGTGGGCATTTAATAAATTTGTTGAATAAATTTTCAACCACAAAAAAATGAATGAGGAGACTAATCTGGAAAATACTTATTCAAAAACAATTTTAAGAGCTAATTATAAAAAAAGGTAGAAGAATTATAAAAGCGAGTAAATTTATATCAGTGTAGAGAATTTCTTCTAGAGCAAGACACAAAACTATTTTCAAAAATTTGATATATTTTACTACACATATACTAAGTATGACCAAAAAAATAAAAAACAAACCTTAAAAACTCTAAAACAGACCAAGAAAAAATATTTGCCACATAAGTAAGAATTTCTACAAGTCAATTAGAAAAGTACTTGACAGAAAAGTGGACAAAGAATATGAATAGTCAATTCACAGAAAAAAAATTAAATAGCCAATAAGTTGATGAACAACCTCATTAATACAGTGCGATAACACTGAGAGGTACATAAATTGCAATAGCAGAAAGAGAGGTATCTAAGTGAGAATGGGGCTGCAGTGAGTGCCTAGCAATAATGATTTTCAAACTGATGTAAAGGATGCATGGGAATTAAAGAAAAAGCTTTTACAAAGGTTAGAAGCTGCTGCTTATTTTTGGAAAAAGTGGAAGCGAAGAGAAGGAGAATGGAAAGAAATGAGATTAAAGAAATAATACAAGGACCTTAGGACAAAGTGCTAGAAGTTTGAAGTAAGCCCTCCAAGACATCTGAAGCCACTGAAGAATTTTTTTTTTCTGAGTGCCTTTCTGGTGCTAATTTATTATATTTTTAATTTTACTTTTCAATTACAGTTTATATTTGAGTATTAGTTTCAGGTATACAGTATAGTAGTTAGACAAGTATATACTTTATCAGCATTCCCCCTGATATTTCCAGTACCTACCTGGCACCATACATAGTTATTACAATATTATTGACATCCCTGTAACTATTTTGTAACTACTAATTTGTTCTTCTTAATCCATTCATCTTTTTTACCCAATCCCCCAAACCCCCTCTCCTCTGGCAACAATCAATCTGTTCTCTGTCTCTGTGAGTCTGTTTCTGTTTTATTTGTTCACTTATATTGTCTTAGATTTCACATATAAGTGAAATTATACTGTATTTGCTTCTCTCTGTCTGACTTATTTCACTCAGCATAATACCCTCTAGATCCATTCATACCATTTCAAGTGGTAAGATTTCATTCTTGTTTATGGCTGAGTAATATTTTACTGAATATATGTATCACCACTTTTTTATCCACTTGTCTATTGATGTGCACTTAAATTGCTTCCATATCTTGACTTTGTAAATAACAATGCAGTGAACATAGGGGTGCATTTATTCTTTAAAATTAGTGTTTTGGGATTCTTTGGATATACACCCTGAAGTGGAATTGCTGGATCATAAGGCAGTTCTATTTTTAATTTTTTGAGGAAACTCCATATTCTTTTCCATAGTGGCTGCACAAATACGCATTCCTACCAACAGTGCATGAGGATTCCCTTTTATCTACATCCTCACCAACACTTGTTTGTGGATGGATTTTTTTTTAAGACATGAGGTGTCTTTTTAGGGAATTCAAACAGTTTCTACATGGCTTAATTTTTTTTAATGAATATATACTGATATGTTCATGATATATTTACATATTTCATGATATACAGATTTACAAAATTTACACAGCTTATGTCATACCAGAAACAAACTGATACATTACATACATAAAACAGTTTAGTAGCATGTTCAAAATGTTTAAAAAAAAACAACAAAAACTTAGGAGGACAAAGTTATATTGTATGTAGTCAGTACTGAAGTTGTAAGCACCATCTTCCTCTTCAGGCTCTCAATCCAAGACATAAGATTGTTCAGACTATTCATCTACTTGAGACTCCTCAGGCAGTGCCTCCCAGGCCTATTTTGGAGGGAAGATGTCTGAGCTCTTTTCATCAGCTTCTTCATCAACACTTTCCTAGTCATTGTCTATGTCTTCATAGTCTTCCACCTCTTCCTGCTTCCTCTCCTTCTGTTTTGGGAATTCAGAGATGTCCCTTTCCTCTATTATTCCATTTGTCAGACCGAAGTTCTAGAAAAACATACTACTGGCTGAAGAAGGGCCCCTGATGGTTTGTATGCTGTGTGCGTTGTTCTTTTCCAGTTCTTCCAGGTTAAACCCCATTTCATGTCTGTCACAAGATTTTCATTAAAATGTGGAGAAAGAGTACAGGATTTAGGGGGGTTGCAATGGTATCCTAAAGAGCCACCTGTCCACTCAGAACATAGCAGTTTGGCAGTACCTTCTTCATTTGGGCTTCCACCTTTTTGGTGTAGTACTATGCACAAGCAAAGTAAAGTCTGGGACAGTAAATTTCAGTACTACGTGTTGAGTGTCAGATTGGGATAGGATGGCACTGGCAGCCTCCATTGGTTTTAGGACTTCAATACTTGCTGGACTTCTCAGAGCAAGTGCAGTGGGAGAGTTAAGTGGAGACACAATGAAACTTGGACTATGATTGTGATTTGTTTGTCCAGGGGGACAACCTGCATGCTCCTTGTAAGCCCCATGGGTATACCAACATTACATGTCATATCCATTCTTGTTTTAAGCTATTGATGATGATGCTTTTCCCTACATTTGGGAAACCAACTACTCCCACCTGAATAGCTTTGCCATAAGTCTCTTGAAAACCTCCAAGATGCTCCCAAAGGCCTTTGTTCCCAATGCAGACTTCACTTTTGAATGGAGTTTTTCTCCTTACCTTGATTATCTTCCGTTTGATCTTCAGATTTGTTAAGGCTCCGAACATGACTGTTAGCAATTCCCTCTTCAAATAATTTAGCCAGTTCTCCAGATTCTCCTTTGGTACCAAATCTGGTTTACCACTAGTACCAGCTTTTTCTGTCCACCCTGGACAATGGCCTCTTCCACGTGGGGACACTTGCAACATAGAGGATCTCTGGCATCCAACATGTCTGGCACAAAATCTGATGCTTCAATCGCCTTTTTAAGTTCCTGACAATACAGCTTCTTTGGATTCTATTTGCCCAGCTTGGCTGTGTTCTTAGTTTTGCATTACCCAAATTCCTCCTTCACAGGTTCCACATTAGATGACTCAACACCAGGGTTAGTTTCAAGTTTTCTTTTTTTCCCTGTTCCTTCTGCCTGTCAAGTTTCTGCTGCTGTTTTAGTTCTTCAGGCCACTGTTTCCTTAGCTCAACTTCCCGAAGAAGAGCCTCCACAAAGGGAACACTGTTTGGAACCCCTGGGTCTTTCCTAGGCTTCTTACAACCCCGTTTCTTAGGCTCCTTCCTCAGTTTTCAATAGTGCTCTTGAACCTTTTTTTGGATTTTATACCACTTATGTCAGGTCATGCATTTACCTGCTTTCTTTAACTTTGTCTGCTTCATTCTGGAGGTGGGAACAGCAGCAGAGGCAAGGGCAGCAGCTACGGCCGGTCTCCACAGGCACCACGTGTTGTAGATTTAGTGATGACAGCCATTCTGACAGATATGAGGTGATAGCTCATTAGGTTTTAATTTGCATTTCTCTGATGATTAGTGATGTCAAGCATCTTTCCATATATTTATTGGCCATATGTATGTCTTCTTTGGAGACGTCTATTTAGATCCTCTGTCCATTTTTTAATTAGATTGTTCATTTTTGTGGTGTTGAGTTGTATGAGTTCTTTATACATTTTTATCATTAACCCCTTATCAAAATGTATCATTGGTAAATATCTTCCTCCACTCAGTAGGTTGTCTTTTCATTTTGTTGATTTTTTCCTCTGCTGTGCAAAACTCCTTGGTTTGATGTAGTCCCATTGTTTATTTTTTCTTTTGTTTCCCTTGCTCACAAAGATATATCAGAAAAAAATATTGCTAAGAGAAATGTCATAGATTTACTGCCTATGTTTTTTTCTAGCAGTTTTATGTTTTCCAGTTTTACATTTAAGTCTTTAATCCATTTTGAACTGATTCTTGC